CTGGCTATTTCCTCCCCGCCTCCGTGGCTGCTGCTGCCTGTGCGCGTGGCCACCTGCAGTGCCACGTGGCAGCTTAGTGTGAACAGAAGACCCCCCTGCTCAGGGGGCTTCTCTACAGTGGTGAGGGTCTGCTCACACAGCAGACCCTAGATCTGCAGATCTGCAGAACAGTTGCTGCCAGGGGCTGATCAAGATATCAGCCCCCTTTTCCCTCCAGCTGGCTTGCTGCAGTGAAGGCCAAGACCCTCCTGGTCTTAGTGTACCTTGTGCCCTTGGAGACACCAAGGGCCAGGTATCACTCCCTTCTCCCCTCTCCYTCTACTAACCCACTCTCCCTACCTCTCCTCTCTCCTCTTACTCACCCCTTCTCTTTCCCCCCCCTTCCACTGCATCTTTTCTCTCCTCCTTTTACCTTCCCAACCCCACCTTTCTCCCACCACCCATTCTTTTACTCTCCTTTCTTCATTTCTTTTCTCTTCTTTCCTCCTTCTTTTCTCCTTGCTTCTTGATCCCTCTCCACCTTTCCCCAACCCTCCTCTCCCCCAACTACCACCACATCATCCCCCCACCTCCCACTTCATCTTTTTCTCCCTCCCACCTATTTGTTTCTTTTCTCCTTCACTTTTTCATTCCCCTTCCCCCTACTTCGATTTTTTTCTGTTTTTCTTCTTTCTATCTCTCTTTTGATTTATCTTTTCTCTTTGTTCCAAAAATTCGAATTATCTTCTTCCCCACCTTCTTTTCTCATTTTCTGATTTATTTTATTTATTTTTCTATTTATTCTGAAAATTCGATTTTCTTTACGGCAACCCTAAATCTGATTAGGTGTTAGTCTTTACTACTTTCGGCACACGTTTTGACCCCGTGGGGGTAACGAAGTGCTGCCTAAATTTTCTGTTTTTTTCTTCCACTTAGTCTTCTCGGCACACTTCGACCCCATGGGGGTAACGAAATGTCGCTGAAATTTTTGACAAATCCGATACTTCATTTGTCCCTACCTCCTCACCCACTTATTTACTTATTTATTTATTTATTTATTATTTATTTATTTCTGAAATTTCTTTTTTGCGGCATCTTGAAACCTAGTGTGCTCACATTGGTCTCTCCTTTCCCCTTGGCACATTCTTGACCCCATGGGGGGTCAGGAAATGCTGTCGAAAATTAAAAAAAAAAAAAAAATGTTTCTTCTCTTCTCATCTTTTTACTTATTTCTTTAATTATTTTTATTATTTATTTATTTCCTAGGCTACCAGCCGGGCCGCCCGGTTCCTGTTGGCCAGCCCGTGCAAGGATCAGGGAAGGTCCCAGCAAAAACAAATTAAAAATAAAATAAAAATTAAAAAATAAAAAAAATCCAAAAAACAACTATGTTATGCAGAAAAATAAAATGAACAACTTTTGCCTGAGGGTCACGTCGAAATTCTGCACCAAATTTAGAAAAAAAAATAAAATTTAAAAACATTTATTATTATTATTATTTTTTTATTGTTTTTGGCCCGGCCGGGCAAGTGACCCCGGGCCACTCTGGTAGCCTAGTTTATTTCCTTATTTATTTTTATTTTCTCTCGAAATCTCGCTGTTTATTTATTTTTCTCCCGCCCTCCCCCCCCCAATGCTTGCTATTTTATTTTCTTGATTAGGTCACCGGCACCGTACCCTAACCACTCAAACTCTGGCTAGGGTTCTCTTAAGGTTTTTCTAGGGTTTACGGTTCTTCAAAAAACCCGCTACTCTCCTTCCTCTTCGGGCACCCTGGACCCGAACCACCCCTCCCCCTTTGACGGCGTCCGCGCTAGCCTTGCTAGCGCCATCTGCCACTTTCTACCGCGGACCCCCGCCTACGTCCTCCGCTCATGCGGACCTCTTCTGGCCCCCTCCAGTCCGGCCCGTCACCTCCCCATGACCGACGGTGTGTCACACGCTGCCTACGTGGCGACGACCACGGCATCGAGCTCCACACCCGTGTTGGTGGACTAGGGCCATCAGTCCCAGGAGGATCTGCACACCCTCATCACCTCCCTCCTCGCACCCATTCAGGCACAACTCGCGACCCTTGTTGCCGGCATGCAGCAACTCCAGGACGCTGCCCGCCCTTCATCTCCTGGCTCCCAGTCCGGGTTCCCCGTCCTCCAACAGGTTGGCCACGGCGGAGGTTCCTCCTCTGCTGCCCCCGACCCGACCATCTTGGTGACTGGCCATGCCCCTAGCACGATGGCCACCACGAGTCAGGCCCTCCCTCACTCTACGGGCACACCCGCCCAGATTCCGGCTACTATGGCCACGGTACAACAACCCGCTACCATGGTCTCTGCTTTTCCGGGTGCCCCGCTGCTCCCTCCCCTTCGCACGACCACAGCGTACTGGTTACTCCTCCTCCTCCTCTCACGGCACTTCCCAGCGCCGTTCCCCTTTCCGCGGTCGCCCCTACCGTTCCGCGTAGCAGGGCCGCCACTTCTCGCACCGCTTCTGCGCGCTCGAGTATGGTGAGCAGGACGCTGGTGCCCCGCTGTCGCCAGAGGGTGACCATAGCGACGACCTCGACCTTGGCGAGGCCGTCCACCACCACCTGGAGGACCCTACTCTCCCTATAGCTGAGCGCCTCCAGCTCATCCTCTCCACCCTTTCCGGGGCACGCAGCCGCCTTGGTCAAGCTGGCGCGTCGCCCCCTGAGGTCCCTCAGCAGGACCTCCCTCAGGGCTTTGCCCCTCCTCGCGGTGTCCTTTCCGCTGAGGAGCGCGCGACTATTTTGGGTCGGCGTGGATGTTTGCGATGCCGTCAGGACGGTCATACCTCCTTGGGTGCCTCTACACCACCGCCCTTGACCGCCACTACGTTGACCTTTCCCGCCAGCGTCGTGCTCAGTCTCCCCCCGACTCCTCGCATCCCCGCGGAGCCTCCTAGCCACGGTGAAGTGTACACCTGTGCCCTCCTCAGTAGTCAGCTTCCTGACATCCCCGTCGCGGTTTGTCCCTCTCGCTACTGGAGCTGAGGTATCACAGGACTCGACAGAGTGTACTCAGCCCTCTGTCGTAGTACCGTCTGCGCCTCCGCAGACCATCGTCTCCCCTCCTATTCCACCGCGACTATTGACGCGTCCAGCCATTCGCTAAGCCCATTGCAGCGAGCAGCTCGCTACTCGCGAGGACGTTGTGTCCTCTCTTCTGGACTTGAGCAAGCTCCAGGCTCGTCAGGAGCGACTCACCCTCCATGTCACTGCACTGCGTCGCCTCCTCGCCATTCTCTCTGACCTTGATCGCACCCTCCCGATCATCCCAGTACAACTCGGGACCTTTACGAGGGTGTACTCAACGCTGTGGGATTCCGGTTCTCACGGCGACTTCATTCACCCACTCGTGGTTGAAGAAGCCCGCTTACCCACGACAGGGTCTCCGACTCCCATCTCCGTTACCATAGGGGATGACAAGACCCAACGCTTCTTCGACAAGACGGTCACCGACCTCCCCTTCTTCGTCACTCTCGAGCCGACTGATTGCCCCCCGGCGTCTCGTCGCCACCGCTCCTCTGCATATTTCGATGTGATGGAGACGGGGTACGACTTCATTCTCGACACTCCGTGGTCTCGTCGGTTCTGCAGCACCGAGGCAGATTGGGCGACCAACACTCTCGTTCTCAAAACGAAGTGTGGACAGACGTATCGGGTACCTTTCATAGGTACCACCGCGACACCACGCCCCAATCCAACAGAAAAATTCCCATGAGAAATTAAAGTTGAAAAACCATTCCATAAAAAAAAAATCTTTCATATTTATAAATTATCATTCCAATGTTTGTCAAATTATAAAATTTTCAATTTAATTTGATAAGTTCCCGTCTAATATGAGCTTTCCCTTCCAACTACATTTATTTGTTCAAGATGGAATGAAAGTCTGGACGAGTTTATGAAATGTTTTAATTATACTTTCATTCTATTACAATAAATATCGTCTAACTTAGATTGGATTAACCTATTTATGACTGGAAATCCTTACTTAGAATGGCAGTCCAGTTAAAATATTTCATGAACTCGTCCATCCCCCCGCCATCCCCCCGCCATCCCCCCGGCCTCCCTCCGGCATCCCTCCGCCATGCCCCCCGTCATCCGGCTCCACCACGCCCCCTGCCATCCCCCCCCCCCCCCCCCCCCCCCCCCCCCCCCCCCCCCCCCCCCCCCCCCCCCCCCCCCCCCCCCCCCCCCCCCCCCCCCCCCCCCCCC